GCTGACATGTGCATCTCCTTTTGCCATCTGTTTCTTCAGTAAAGAATAACTGTTCAATTCCTGCACCAAATCTTAACCAGGTTTTCCAGCGTGCCGCTGCTTCCTACGGCTTGGATTAAGCATTGCTCAGGGAATTGAAATCATCAGACAACATAATGACAGTATGACAACTTGAATTAGCCTCACAGTGAGAACTAAGTGAACCGTTTTCATTCACTTGACTGAAACTGTGATGTATATCATCCGCATCACGCTACAAATCTCAGCTCTGGAAGTTGCTGATGTTTACAGTCAGAGGAGCTGCAGAGGGAACGGCAGAAAGGAGGTTTAAGGAAGTCACATGCTGCAGGTGTGAATAGATTCATAGCTGTGATAGATAATAAGTGTGTGCATTGTTTTCTCACCATGCACTTCAAAAAGATGCTGAAGAACCAGTAGGAACACATGCTTGTTTAAAACAACATAAAGAGTTTTAACACTCTAAGCGGTTACTTTCAAAGTGGTTTCAGTGATTCTTGAGGCAGAAACTCTACCAGCTTCGCATTTGACAGCACTCTGCAGCCCTCAACCTGCTTTAGATGTTAACTGTTTACTCTGCGGTAGCTAAAATAAAGGCTCGCTTTTTCAGTTCGCCGACCGTCAATGAAGGGCACAAGAAGAAGAAAAAGTAAAATTTAGATTGTTTTGTTGGCATCAAGGAAGTAAAGGAAAAAGAGTAATGTCTTTGGAGGCATGGCAAAGAGCTAACAGCAGAGTGAGCATCAGTGCAGCCTACACTCGTTCTATGAAATCCCAGACTGATGATGACCTGGCTTTGTTGCTACTGGACTTGTAAGCAGTAACATTTTTGTCCAACTATTTTTACTTCGTGGCTTGTTCAGTATCAGTTGGCTTGTGTTAGAGTTAGGTCGTTGATAGCGCTAGCTACAGCAGGCAGCGGCAGGGTTGTTTACGACAGCTGTAATTCCTTTTTCAACCAGTAGGAGGAAGGAAGTGGGGAAACTTATTTAGGATTGCTGAAATACTAGCCACAACACTCCCAGAACCTGTCAATGTGTGATCTGGCTCTCTCTAATCTACCCCCACATCTTTTGTTTTCTCCACATTTCCAGAAATATCTGTATCATGAGATCTAAAGAGTTCTTTGTGCCAGTTTAGCCGCATACACATCTAAATATGTAAACACACGTGCACAGCCAGTCACCGAGCTGAATTTTGTCTCCTTTTGGAGCAAGGCGGAGAAGAGAGAAGAAAAAGCCACCTACTGAGGAAGAAATGCTAAAGATTCTGGCTGGCGCTGACAAAAGTCTTATAGCTTCACTGACTTCACAGGCAAAAAAAAATCGACAGATGAAGAAGGCGGTGGGGGTGAAGGTGGGCCTGTCATACAACGAGTTTGTTTATGTGTCAGAAGATCACATAAAAATGGAGAGTTTGTCATGTGCTGTGAAAAACAGCTTAAAATAGAGCGACATGGAAAATAAAGTTTGCAGTTTTGATAAAAACAGCAAAAGGGACGCCAAGGATAAAATCCAGCTTCATGTTCATGTTCTGGTGAACTTTAGAACTTACAAATAATCTTTTGATATTTTATTAGATGGTGTATCAGAACCATCCTGGATCTCAGGAATCACGGGTGGTTCCAGAGTTCACTCTCATCTAGGATTCGGAGCACAGAGCTGTTGCAGATTTGGCGACTTTCATTGGAGACAAAGTCAAACAGATGGGAATCAAGTGCATGTTGTGCATTTTTAATGTGATCCTCAAAGACATGGGCACCTCCACTCTGCATGTTGGAGACAGGAGGCTATCTGCCAAGCTTAATGTCGTGCAAATGCATAATGGGACTTCTGGCTGGTCATAATTCAGATGTCAGTGTCATCACAAACTCCAATTTACATATTCAGAGTCACTTTTACTGTTTGTTTAACCTTAGCTTTGTCATTTGCATCCTAAAGTGGTGTTTGCAAGTATTACTGTCACAGAGACGTCATCCAATCAGCTACAGATTTAGATTGTATTTTTGACCAATCTGTTATTCGTAGTAAAGGCAGCTTGGTGTGTTTTGTGTTAATGTTTGATGAAGTTTGGGGATTTTTCTTAATGAAACAAAACAATTTACTGTAGAGCAGAATGCCCATATGGTGTAAAAGTAGGCATGGAGAAACAAACATAATAATTATTTTCCGCTGCATCCATGGTTGTAAGGTTAGACTCAAGTGTCTTCTCACAATAAAGCCACAAAGTAAATCCTGTGGTATTGGACTTGTTTGTCGCCCCCTCGTGGCCAGTTTTGAGTTAGGTTTTGGTTTGGTTGAAATTTAAAAAAAAAAGGTTTCTCTTCAGTGGGAAAAAAGACATTTTCACAAACGTTTTAAGCCTTGGAGTATCATTGTTCGTAAGTCACCCACTGTTAGTGTTTTAATGATGTTTTGAGTTGAATACTGTAATAGTTGTAACTAAGCTTAATGTGTGTTATGCTAGCCATCTTTTAGATTTCTAAGTTTGTGTTTAAAAAAGCTAAAAGGTTAAGAACAATTTAACCTTTGGCACAAAAGTATGCATTTTGATATTTAAAATTCTTACACATGTGAAATTTACCAAATATTGACATATGTTTTCTGTATTTGTGTTTCAGTTCTAGGGAGCCGCTTTCCAGCATGTTTTAGAGGTTTCCCTGCTTCAACACACCTGATTTTAATCAGTAGATGATAAACAGACTTCTGTAGAGCCTTATGAGCTGCTGAACAGGGGAAACAACTAAAACATGCTGGATAGCAGCTCTCCAGAACTAGGGTTCCCAACTTCTGGTCTAGCACATCTGTGTGAGGACAGAATGGAGGCGGTTTGGGGACTTGAAGCATTATACTGGAATGGAACGTGGAACTGGAACTGGAACTGGAATGGAACGTGACGAGTTTATACTGGAAGGAGACCTTGGATTAGAACCAGCTGGAAACATGTCCTCTCTGGTCTGGTAATATCTCAGGATTCAGAAGGCACTGAGGAGTAATGATGGCGAGATGAAGCCTCATGATGAGCTGGAGCTTTCTGTCCAACTGGTTGACTCTTGATTTGAGGCACCGTGACGATTCATTTGATCGACTGGGTCATCAAGTGGACGATTCAAGTAAAACTGTAAACCTTTGAACTGAAAAAAGAAATGCTTAAGATGGCAATATATTCTTAGTATTGTCCTAAACTGTCCTTTTATTACTGTCTGGTCCAAAAGAGAAAGTAAACTAATAGGACAGGGTTTCAACAGCACAATGTGACAGGGGAACCAGCAGGGTTTGGCTGCCCCTTTTATTTTGAATCCGGCGCAAACCGACGATCCAGTTCCTGAATCGGTCACATGGTACAGACTGCCAACGAGGCCTTGAACATTACTGCTTATGTAATCAACACAAGCCTCGATCCGTGCTTCACAAAAAATCTTCCTGGATACCCGACACACGCTTCGAAGTGTCGACACATCAGACACGTCCCTACTGAGGAGTGCTGCTGGAGAGAGGGAAGTCTGGGATGCTCTCCTTGATCTGCTGGAATCCAGCACTGGGAAAGAAACCAAGTATTGTTCACAGGAGGATGGATGGATAGATGGATGGATGGATGGACTGCAGTTTGACTCCACCTCTCATCACCTCACTTTCCATTCAAAATCCAGAGAACTTGTTTTTTCATTATCATGTATTTAATTTAGTTTTATCTCAAAAGGGACATTTTGTCAAATGAGCTTGGAGACTCATTTTTATGTGATGGCGTTTCAGCAATAAGGATCACAACAATGCCTTGACTTAACTGTTTTTATCTCGTTTAACATGTTTTTATGATTGTTTCCTGCTTTTATTTGACTAATGTTTAATGATATTATTTTAAAACAATTAAATCACACTTTGTTTTTATCGTGTATTTTGTGGTTGTGTTCTGCACCTTGGGCTTCTGATAATAAGGTCGTGGAAGTTGCTTTATGAATAATTAAACTGAAACTGAACTAACTATATTGCATCATATAAAAAAATGGTAAAGTAATGCATAAAGGATGTGGAAAAAAAGTTCAGTACCCTATAAAAGACCTAATGGACAGTTTTCAAACCCAAATAAACAGTGTTTTTTTTATCTATCTTCCAAAATCATCCAAAAATTCTGAGAATCAAAGAAATGATTGTGGGGAAAATGAAAGTCAAAAAACAGTTTTTAATGAGAGTGATCTGCAGGCTTTTGCACACTGTGATGTGGTTAAAATCATTACAAGAGCTCAGAAAATATTATCAGTTTTTTTTTTATCGTCCAAGTTAATCCCACACTGGATCTTCACGTACTGCTTTTTTTTTTTTTACTTTTAAAGGCCAATAGCAATGAACATAAATACAACTTTAGTGTAATTTCAATTAAAAAATACATGTTAAAATTAATTAAATTTAAGCCATTTTTATAATCATTGCCTCCACGTAAGGGAAACACACAGTCAGAACAAATCGTTTTATGTCTGTTTTCTCAAATTCTAAAAAAAATACGTTTTTTTAATTAAATCCTGTTAATATTTAAAGAAATCCCAAGATGAGCAAAGATAAGAATGTAATAATATCTGTAAAAAACAAAAGAAATAAGAAAACCAATTGTTTAAATGGATTAGTAAAGTCACAAGATTTAATAGGTGAATTCTGTTTGTTTGAGCAGGGAAACAACTAAAACATCATGAACACTGGCCCCCAGAAACCTGGAGTGAGTTTTAGGATTTCATTTTAACTTCCTACTGCATCCAGACTGACTTCAGCATCTGTTCTCCATGAGAGAGAAACACCTGCGATGGTCACACACCTGGAAACACTCAAAACCAGAGGGAATAACCAATGGGGGAATACCACAGAAGGTTTTAGCACATTTTGGAGGGTGTTAGCCACACGTTTAGCTATGTTGGTTTTAACGGCCCCCAGCTCGACTATGATGTTAATAGGGAGCGTAAAGAAATGTGCTTGTGAACAGGAAACAAACCAAGATTCACTCTCTTAAAGGAGTTTATTAACTAAAAGTCACTGAATTCATGCAGGAAAAAGGCTAAAATGATACAAAACCAAAAGACGTCCAAAACTGGGGATTTGACAACAATAATAATATAAAACACAAAGCGCCGGGGATTAAAACCGGGTAAAGAATGAGCAGGATTAACACAAAAAGCTCCACCAAAAGGGTGAGCTAGATTTCTCTTTAACGAGGATGCCGAAGAAAACACAAAATGAGCTCGAGAAACTAGGAAGCTACTATCGATACCACAGAGGTAGGCAAAACGAGACTTTAACGTCAGCACGAGGAGGGAAAAGGGAGAGCAAACACTCCTGCTTGTTCTCTACTGAACTCCCCCCCCTCTGTAAAATCAGATACACCCTTTTAACAGGGAGCCTCACTGATTGAAAGTAATTCCACCTGGCTCAGCTAGAGCCAGGAGAGTAGGTAGGGACGCTGAGGGCACCTAGTGGCCACAAAACAGACGGCGTCTGTTACGTTGGTTCATGTCTACACAATAACTACAAGCCCTACCCCATAGTCAAGGTGGCTAATCAGGCTTTCTAACAGAATTAAATGTAACTCCAATTGCAATCATTAAAGAGGAGAAATTGAATAAAATGATGTTAATGGATGCACTTAAAGAAGACATGTAGCTAACTGGTGGTAGAATAGAAAACATAAGTAAAGAAATCAAGACTGAGATCCTTCTAGAGCTGACAGACGATGAAAGCATTCAGGAAGCATTCTCTCGTCACTCTCCAGAAGCCGTTCTCAGTCAACATGGTGCAGCCGAAATCCTGGATGGAGGCGTCTGGCTGATCTTTCCCCCACTTAGTAAAGGTCAGAGGTCGATTATTGGTGTGAACAACACAATTCCCTTTTGCCTTATTCTTGCTGACATTGATCCAGACTTCTGTGTAACCATCCCTGAACACCTCAGTGAGTTTGTTGTTCTCCTCTTGGTTCTGGGGCAGAGCCAGCTCTAAGCCTCGCTGGGAGCAGAACTCAACGGCCTTCTCAAACGAGTCCCTCTCCTTGTTGGACACAAAGTATTTCTGACCGACCTTTCGGACAAACGGATAACCTACAGCTGAAGAGAAAGACACAGAAAAATCACAAACTGGTCAAAAAAACAGATCAACAACAACAAAAAGACAAATCGGATTATTTTGGACAGTGAACAAATATATTTAAAAGCACTAACATTTTATAAATCATTATTAAGTGTTTATTGTCCAGTTGGGTGCGAGAAAGAAGAAGAAACAATCTTTTTTATATAACGCCTTTCAAGATGAAAATCATGAGACGCTTCACAAGAACAAACATTTAAAAATAAAAAATGATTAAAAAAATTTGAAAAGTATAAATAAATGTATTAAAAATGTGAGGAAAGGAAAAGAGAACATGAATAGGAAAGAGGTCATCAGTAGAACCTGGGAAAGGATCTAGAGATAAAACTAACTGTTTCAGTGGCGTGTCCAGATTTTTTAAAATGGGGTGGCCCAGGTACGGCACTACTTTGTGCACAGGTGGCACCAATGGTTATGCTTTTCTGTTTTACCTCAAGCCTTCTGTGGACAATGAAGAGCCAATGGGTTAGGGGAATTCAGGGAATTCAGTATGGTGACACCTGGGGGTGGCCAATCAGATTCCAAGTGTGGCATGTGCTACCCCAGGCCACTCCCTGGACACGCCCCTGAACTGTTTTTGTCAAACAGAGAGCCAAATCTGCTTACCTACAGAGGATAGTTTTCTTCAAAAATTTGACATTATTTTCCTCTATCCATTTATCCTAACGACAGCCCGAGTCCCTGAGGCAGAGAAACACCCCCACAGCAGGATGCTGCCACCTCCGTGCTTTACTGTAGGTATGGTGTGTTGTAGCTGGTGAGCTGCAGTGGATTTACACCTGGTGAACCTTTTAGTGTCGAGGCCAAATAATTTCATTTTGATCTCATCTGATTCTGACCTTTGTCCACTTGGCATCAGAATCCTCCTGGTGCATTCTGGAGACCAGCTGTAATGTGGCCTTTGTTGAAAAGTGGCTTTTTGCTTGCAAGCCACATCTGTGGAATCATTGTCACATGCAAAGGATGATCATTCTTTGCCATGACGTACTATAGAAGAAGCCATGAAATGAAAAATTTTTTTTCATTTAGCTCCTCTCAACAAAAAACATTCACAATTTATTCTCCATTAATCACACTGATTACAGTTGATCACAGGTGGAAGCTGGAAACCATGGTCTGCTAAGGAAATGATGACTTTTTTTTGGTTTGTGTTTCCATTTAAAGTTATAAAGCAAAAAAAGATGGATGTCTTTCAAAGGGCGTGATTCTTTTCTGTACCCACTATTTATTACATAAATGATAAATGACCCCCACTTGTATAGCGCCTCTCAGAGTAAGGACTCCAAAACGTTTTACACTACAGTGTATCATTCATCCATTCACACACACAAGGTGATAAGCTATGATGTAGTGCCCTGGGGCGCACTGACAGAAGCGAGGCTGCCGAGCACAGGCGCCACTGGTCCCTCCGACCACCACCCGCAGGCAAGGTGGGTTAAGTGTCTTGCCCAAGGACACAACAGCAAAATTCTCTGTCCGGAGCTGGGATCAGAACCTGCAACCTTCCGATTATTGGACAACCCGCATAACTTGTTGAGCTACTGCTGCCCATCTGCAGTTGCCATATGAAACATTTCAGACTAAGCTGGAAACACAATGACCGTGTTTATTAATAATCATTAAACGTTGATAAATGCCAGGATAAAAAACAAGTAATAATGTCATAATGTGATTTGTAGGTTTTTTTTTCAATGGTTAATAAAAAGTATCAATATTATTAACTGAATTCAAATGTTAATGAATTATAAATTAGAAAACCATAAAAGTTTCAAAACAAAATACGTTATTGTGTTGGTGCTGACACTTACCCAGCTCTAACTTGTCGAGGCGGTCCTGTACGGCGCTTAAATTGATGCTACAGGGCTCATTACCTGGATCAAACACAGGTTAAGTTAAAAATATGCTTTTTGGAGAGAAAATTTTCAGATGATAAAGCTCCTGAAATGTGTTGTTGTTTTTTTATTTGTGATTAATGTTCTAGATTTGTTTGATGTGTTTTTTGTTATCTTTCTTTTCTCTCATCTCGTTAATGAGATGGCTCATCTCAAGCGGTTTTTATTCTCCTAAAACATAAGTTTATAAATAAATAAATACCTAATGGAAGATTTCCTGATTCAGATTTGCTGTATTTTACTAAGTTAATGCAATTATCATTGGAGCAGTTTACTCATGAGAAGCTCAGTTATCCGGGAGAAGCTCAAAGTAGACCCGCTTCTCCTCCACATCGAGAGGAGCCAGTTGAGGTGGCTCAGGCATCTGATTAGGATGCCTCCTGGACACCTTCCTGGTGAGGTTTTCCAGACATGTCCAACCAGGAGAGAAGACTGAAAGGAAAACCCAAGGTGAGATGGAAGGACTATGTTTTTCGGCTGGCCAGGGAACGCCTTGGAATTCCCCCAGAGGAGCTGGCCCAAGTAGCAGGGAGAGGGACGTCTGGGCCTCCCTGCTGAGGTTATTGCCCCTGCAACCCAACCCCAGATAAGCGGCCAAAAGTATAAAACCCCTTCTTATAACCATTAGTCAGCAAAAACGTTGTCAAACAGAAGTATTCCTGTAGAAATAGTGATGTTTGATTCTAGAAGATCAGTCGCCTTGATACTATAAAGCTAAGGTATTCAATTATGGTCCTGGAATGCCGGCAAGTTTTAGTGGTTTTCCTGCTCCAGCACTCTTGATTCGGTGACTGAACCACCTGGGCAGCAGCTCACTGGGCTCTGCAGAAGCCTGTTAATTATCTGCTGGTGTGTTTTAAACACACTTAAAACTAAAAAAAAATGCTGGATGCCGGCCCTCCAGGCCCGGAATCGAATACACCCGCTATAAAGCAATAATGATGCAAAACATTAAAGTTTAGGTAGGCACCATACCTAACATGGACAATCCTGGTGGTCCCGGTGGTCCCGGTCGTCCTGGCTGTCCCTTTTCCCCACGTTCTCCAGCAAATCCTGGTAGACCTGGATCTCCTGGATCAAGGATAGCAAACAAAATCGAATGTACACATTAACCCCATTATGTGGTTTGAAGTCATGATAACAGAACAGGGAGTATGGGGGAAAGAAAGAAAGAAAGAAAGAAAGAAAGAAAAAAAGAAAGAAAGAAAGAAAGAAAGAAAGAAAGAAAGAAAGAAAGAAAGAAAGAAAGAAAGAAAGAAAGAAAGAAAGAAAGAAAGAAACGTATCTTTTATATAGCGCCTCTCAAGAGAAAAATCACGAGGCGCTTCACAAAACAATTTAAGTATAAAAATGTATTTTTTCAATATTAAAATATGTTTAAAATAAGAGAATAAACAAAATTTGTGATAAGATAAATTATAATGTAAGGGAGAAAGAAAATTAATAGGAAAGAGGGAAATCAGTGGACTGCAGGAAAAGGCGGATTAAGTAGAAAGAGCAGAATAAGGAGAGGGTGATGAAGGTCACACAAAAGCCAGCTTGAGCAGGTGAGTTTTCAGCTGCTTTTTAAAGGAGACCTCTGAGTTCACTGATCTCAGGCTCAGGGGGAGAGAGTTCCAGAGTCTGGGGGCCACAGCAGCAAATGATCTGTCACCTTTGGTCTTTAGCCTGATGTGCTGCACAACCAGTAGGCAAGGCAGCTTTATTTATAGAGCACACTTCAAACCCAGAGGCAAGTCAATGTGCTTTACTTTACCTGCTTTACAGCTGAAGACCCTTTTATTTAAAGCTGCTTTTACCTAAACCTTTTATTTTCTTATTCTTAACTTGAATTTGTAATCATCTTTCATTTGTTTTATTGTATATTATAATGTTATGACGTATTTTCTTATTTTAATTTATTTCTGTTTTAGGATCATTATGTGACTTTATGATTTGTTTTGATCTATGGGAAGCACTTTGTGATTTTCTGTCTATGATGAGTGCTATATAAATTAAATTTACTTAAGAAAAAAAAAGTTTGCTTTTTTTGAGCCTGGAAGTAAAAGTGAAAGAGTTATGTCTTTGGAGGCAAAGCAAAAAGCTAAAATCAGAGTGAACATCCACGTGACTTAGTTTGAGGGAGCTAAAGGAGGCTACAAAATCATGGACTGATGGTGACCTGGCCTTGTTGTTACTGGACTTGTAAGTATTAATATTATTTGTCCAACCGTATAGATCTTTTAGTATTAGCTGGCACGTGTTAGTGTTAGCTCGTTGTTAGGGCTAGCTACAGCAGACTGCAGCAGGGTGTTTTACAACCGTTGCAATTCCACTTTCAACCAGTAGGACAGAGGAGAATGAAACTCTTACTTTTAACACCCAAAAAATTGTAAGTCCTTTAAATTCCATTTTAAATTAATCTTTTCCCAGAGAAAGAGGTTTTTTTTTTTACTTTGTTAGTCAAGCTTTCACATATCCGGACATTTTCATATGGAGATCAAGCTTGAGAAATCTTATCAATGGCATGTGATTGTGATTTCCTTGAGGGAAAACTGAACAAAGTGATATTGTCAGAGAAGCTAAATGTTATAACCCTAACTATAGGCTAAATTATGCGAAAGAGTTGTAGTTACCTTTGTTTCCTATAACACCTGGAAAACCAGGAGGACCAGGAGGACCAGGAGGACCAGGAGGACCAGGCGGGCAGAGAGGACAAAGAGGATCTTGCTGCTGACTGTAGCTCACAAAACCCATCAGGCAGAATGCACATAAAATAAAACAAAACCTCATCTTCTCAGTGCAGTTTGGGATTCTGTAAATAATAAAAAAAATATAGTAGGACTTTTTTTTTCATGGAGATCACTTTCCCATTTAATCTCTATTCTAAACATTTATTGGAACAAAACAAAGACAAAAAAGGGAAATTTAACAGGTAAAACTAACCATAAAACTACAACACTCTCCAGAATGTGCTGCTCCTGCTGTTTCCAAACTCACATAAGACAGTTTCAACAGCAGAAACTCGAGATCCCACCCAGATGAAGCAATAAGTCAAAAACAAGTTATATAACCTGTTAATGAAAACCAGATTGGTATGAGGCAGTGAGCTATTGCTTCACAATGCCAAAATGTTGTAATTTCATTAACTTACCAGAGGAAAAAAGCTCTGAAACCCAGAGAATGAACAGCGTTCAACAGTGGAACTATAGGTGTTTGGAACTGTCCGAAGCTCTATGGACAACTTCCGCATTCCATTGATTCTATTGAAGCCTATGGTCCGAATTCTGTATCTCAAAGGGTCTGGCTTAAACCAGCCGAGATGTCCGATGCTGATTTCAGGGTATTTAAACAACAACAGCCTTCCCCGTCGTGAGTCAAGATCGGTGAGTCCACAAACACCAATTCACAGTGTGACGTAGAGCTGTCCGAATTGAGTTCCATCGTCTATTTTCTATCAGAAGCTAATGCAGGAGATATGCGTAGGAGACTATTTTCATGGTTAGTCTGCATGAAAAGCTCAGTGACTGATTATGAAAAACATTTTTAAAATGTTATTTCAGTCAACCACACCTTTAATGAACACTTCACAAAGTCTCCCCTTCAGAATAAAAGGTTTCATGCTTCAAAAATTCCCAAACTTGAGTTGACATTCCAATACCGATGAAGAGGGCTGCACCAATAGGATCCACTCAAATTTTTCAAATGCTAACGATGAACCATAAAAACCACAGTTGTGTGTTTTGTTTTGTGTGTTACTTTTAGTTTAGTTATCTGGTTCCTTATTATTTGGCCAGTGTCCCCCCAGTTTCCTCATCAGTCTCACATCTGTAATTATCACACCTGATATGTGTTTAGTAACCAATGGCGCTCCCACGGGGTGGCCAGGGGTTGCCATAGCCGCTCAAACCATAAAGGCCACGAGGACTTTGGGCCATTCCCATCTGTACCTGGTCGGCCCGGCCCGAACAGCATAGCTTGCTTACATATCTTGGTGGCCTGCCTTTTTTCAGGGTGCAACGAGACTGTTTTTCAGCCTTCTTTCTGAGGTGGTCTGCTTCAGGCTGACCAGGGCCAACACACCCACTGCTGACTGATAAGCCGGCTTATCAGTCAGCAAATAGACTCTGTGCGTCTTAGCATGTGCTACTTCCGGGGGGACAACTCCTGTAGAGCGTTTCACTTCCGTTGTGAGCCGCTGCATGTTTACGCTAGGATTTGCGGTCGGGTTTTCCATCAGAAGTCAGCCAAATGGCTGAATTAAGCGGCGATTTAAACTTTTCAAGATGTCTCGGGCATTTGTCGAATATGTCTGTAGATGATGTTCATTGACTTGTTGATCTTTTTTCCCCCCGCGCCTCAGAGCAAAAGAGAGAAAGGATTCAAATTTTACAACTCCCAGTATTTGTATAATTTCGAAGGTAAGTCACAACAACACATCCTTCATAAATACCACTAGAGACCCTTAACACCGAAACAGTCATTTTTTATATATCTTCTGACTTTTTCTCACAGTTTGTTGATATGCTGTGTGGGTGTGTGTTTGGTTAGGGTTAGCTCATCTGAGTGTAGCAGGGGAACATCTGGCTGTTGACTAACGTTCCCCCGTAGTTTGAATGCCTGTTTAAGGCATAGTAACTGTCACTATACAGAGATGTGCTCCTAAATGAAGACGACGTGTCTTCTCATTTTGTAATGCATTTCTGCTAGTGTGTTGAGTGATGTAAACAACAAATCGATCACTCTTCAAACATAAAAATTGATCAGTTGATTTTTTTTTCATGAAAAAATCTGCTTCAAGTGTCTGCATATATTATCTTTGTATTACAGTTCCTGCACCTACAACGTACCAACTAACGTTATTCTGTTACTAACTTTACTAAAATTGTTGTTTTTCTGCAGCGTCTGACAACCATCAGGGTGCTGGAGAGGTGGTGGTCAGGGCAGAATGCTTCAGGTCCATGAAGAAGACCGAGAAAGCTCACAAACTCAGCGTATGATCTTAAAAAGAGGCAGTGTGAAATTGTTGTGTACAGTGTATATAATGTAATAGGTTGGATGCAAATTATAGGATGTTGCTAGGATCATGTCAAGCTGTCATATCAGGGACGTGCTCAGAAATTAGTGCATTTGACAAACATGCTATCTTTAGAAATTGATTATATTTCTAGGGATATTCAATATTTATATTAAATACATTGAAATATTGTACTTTGTAGGTGGTACTGAAAGATTCACAGCCTGTTTAACTGCTGGACTTCACCTGCACGTGTAAGGCTGGAAAAGCTTCATGCAACCACTGTGTTGCTCTTCTCTTTCAATCTGCACACTATTCGCGGTTGAAAGTCCAAGTTGTTCCCCCAATGTTAAGCTGCACTGAAGGTGAACAACAGTGGCATAAGCCGAGAGTTATGGTGAGTCCAATCATCACAATATTTTTTATGTAACTATATATATTATATTTATTTTGACCATATTTTAATAGGGGATAAAGCCTGGCCCGGTGGAGAAGATGGTTGTCCTCTCAGCCAAACGCAAAACAAGAAAGACCACAGAGGGAGTGCAGTAAGTACTGGCTACTGATGGGATTTCAGATAATATCACAGCATTTTATAAGGCAATGATATTTAATACAGAATGGGGGGGCAATTTGTTTACTGTTTTCAAACAGCAGATTCTCATGGTAATATATAGTGATAGCTAAATGAAGCTTTCTGAATCACATGAAGCCGTCGTCGTCGTCGTCGTCTTCCTCCGCTTATCCGGGTCCGGGTCGCGGGGGCAGCATCCCAATTAGGGAGCTCCAGGCCGTCCTCTCCCCAGCCACCTCCACCAGCTCCTCCGGCAGGACCCCAAGGCGTTCCCGGACTAGATTGGAGATGTAACCTCTCCAACGTGTCCTGGGTCGACCCGGGGGCCTTCTGCCGGCAGGACATGCCCGAAACACCTCCCCGGGGAGGCGTCCAGGAGGCATCCTGACCAGATGCCCAAACCACCTCAACTGGCTCCTTTCGATCCGGAGGAGCAGCGGTTCTACTCCGAGTCCCTCCCGAATGTCCGAGCTCCTCACCCTATCTCTAAGGCTGAGCCCGGCCACCCTACGGAGGAAACTCATTTCGGCCGCTTGTATCAGCGATCTTGTTCTTTCGGTCATTACCCAAAGCTCATGACCATAGGTGAGGATTGGAACGTAGATCGACCGGTAAATCGAGAGCCTGGCTTTCTGGCTCAGCTCCCTCTTCCCCACGACAGATCGGCTCAGCGTCCGCATCACTGCAGACGCCGAACCAATCCGCCTGTCGATCTCCCGATCCCTCCTACCCTCACTCGTGAACAAGACCCCGAGATACTTAAACTCCTCCACTTGAGGTAGGACCTCTCCCCCGACCCGGAGGTGGCAAGCCACCCTTTTCCGGTCGAGAACCATGGTCTCAGATTTGGAGGTGCTGATCCTCATCCCAGCCGCTTCACATTCGGCCGCGAACCTACCCAGCAAGAGCTGAAGGTCAGAGCTGGATGAAGCTAGGAGGACCACATCATCCACAAAAAGCAGAGACGAGATTCTCCTGCCACCAAACTCGACACACTCCACACCACGGCTGCGTCTAGAAATTCTGTCCATAAAAGTGATGAACAGAACCGGTGACAAAGGGCAGCCCTGGCGGAGTCCAACCCTCACTGGGAACAGGTCCGACTTACTACCCGCTATGCGGACCAAACTCACGCTCCTCTGGTAAAGGGACTGAATGGCCCTTAACAGAAAGCCACCCACCCCATACTCCTGGAGCGTCCCCCACAGGGTGCCCCTGGGGACACGGTCATAAGCCTTCTCCAAGTCCACAAAACACGTGTGGATTGGTTGGGCAAACTCCCATGCCCCCTCCATCACCCTTGCAAGGGTATAGAGCTGGTCCACAGTTCCACGGCCAGGACGAAAACCACATTGCTCCTCCTCTATCTGAGATTCAACTATCGATCGGACCCTCCTCTCCAGTACCTTGGCGTAGACCTTTCCAGGGAGGCTGAGGAGTGTGATCCCCCTATAGTTGGAACACACCCTCAGGTCACCCTTCTTAAAGATGGGGACCAGCACCCCGGTCTGCCACTCCCTAGGAACTGCCCCCGATGACCACGCAATGTTGTAGAGACGTGTCAACCATGACAGCCCTACAACATCCATAGCCTTGAGATACCCAGGACGAACCTCATCCGCCCCCGGGGCTCCGCCGCTGTGTAGTTGTTTGACTACCTCAGCAACTTCTGCCCCCGAGATCGGACAGTCCATCCCCAGGCCTCCCAGCTCTGGTTCCTCCTCGGAATGCGCATTGGTGGGATTGAGGAGCTCCTCAAAGTATTCCTTCCACCGTCCGACTATAGCCTCAGTTGACGTCAGCAGCTCCCCATCCCCACTGTAAACAGTGTGAGCGAGTTGCTGCCTTCCTCTCCTGAGGCGCCGGACAGTTTGCCAGAACCTCTTTGGAGCCGATCGATAGTCTTTCTCCATGGCCTCACCAAACTCCTCCCACGCCCGAGATTTTGCCTCGGCAACTGCCACTGCTGCACCCCGCTTGGCTATCCGGTACCTGTCTGCTGCCTCCGGAGACCCACAGACCAGCCACGCCCTGTAGGCCTCCTTCTTCAGCCTGACGGCTCCCCGAACCTCTGGTGTCCACCAGCGGGTACGGGGGTTGCCACCACGACTGGCACCGGCCACCTTACGACCACAGCTAGCAACAGCCGCCTCGACAATCGCAGAGTGGAACAAGGCCCACTCGGACTCAATGTCCCCCACTGCTCTCGGGACGTGGTCAAAGCTCTGCCGGAGGTGGGAGTTGAAGACCGTCTTGACAGGTTCTTCTGCCAGGCGTTCCCAGCAGACCCTCACTATGCGTTTGGGTCTGCCAGATCTACGCAGCATCTTCCCTTGCCATCTGATCCAACTCACCACCAGGTGGTGATCAGTTGACAGCTCCGCCCCTCTCTTCACTCGGGTGTCCAAAACATACGGCCGCAGGTCAGATGATACGACTACAAAATCTATCATCGACCTGTGACCTAGGCTGCCCTGGTACCAAGTGTA